GTTGAATAGTTGAATACTAGAGAATGAAAAGTGATATAAATAAACTGTAAATTGCATGTTCTTACATTTGTCGAGCTCTTTCATCTGGGACTGTTATGTTGTTAGCCTTGACTTTTCCTTTAATGTAAAACTAATAAGGTCTACACAATGAATGTCACAAAAAATATATGTGCCAAGTTTCATTGAAATGTGATTACAACTTTAGATATTGATGGAAAAGCCGTAAAATTATGAATTAGGAAATTATTATGAACAGATTTTAACCCAAATTTACTCAGGTTTGTGCATAGTCATAAAACATCTATTTAGATATCACTGACACAGTGATGGATCAGCAACAAATTGGGTAATTAAGATGCACGGACTTCAAACAAAAACTCATAAAATATGTACACATTGGTTCAGAGCATCTATGTACTAAGTTTCATCGAAATCCAATAAGTGGTTCGTGGAATACTAGTGGAACAGTCTCTCTCTCACACACACTCACACACACACACACCCACACACACGGACGGGCTAACTGCAAAGATTCCCATTGTGTCACTATGTTTTGCTTGGCTATGTATGCGGCCAAACACTACGAAAACGAGTCATGACTGCTTTGTTAACGTTGACCATGGTTACCAGTCGATGGCATATGAACTAATAATCAGTATATGTTTAACCATAAAGTATATAAAAGTTTGTTGCCAAATAAAAACTACCAAGAATAAGTTTAAATACCCCCATGTCTACAACTCAAATGTCAGTTTCATTATAATTATCAGCATGCACAATTAAGATTGGGCAAAGTTACCAGTTATTACAAAATTGAGAGTAATCGACTTAGGTTATTGAAGGACAAAAAAAATCACATCAGTCCCACGGGTGTATTCTGTCGCCAGAGTACCAAATCGCATGACATTAGAATTAGAATGTCCATCCTCCCTGTACTGTTGTTTATTTAAAAATAATGGACGACTCATAACTGGCGAAATAATGTTTTGTGCGACATATATAGAGCACACAGAGTGCTTCAGTCGGCATAATTTAAAAAAGTAATTTTAAAATTCACTCTCATCCGGGCAGTCACATTGTCGTTCGGTAAATTAATCACAAAACGTGTTTTGATATATCAAAACTTTAATCATATACATTGCAAGTGACTGATCTGTGGCATGGAATACCATCATTCCGATAGCGTAGTCCCACACGCGTACGCCGCTCAGGTGCCCGGCCGCGGCTTCGCACTACGCCACGCTGAGTATGGTGTCCTCGTAGTTACAAAAACATCCTAAAAGAGAAGGATGATTCAGCAGACCAATTCAAAAATAGAAATACAAATCAATGAATCGTGAACACGGTTGACGTTGACTACT